CGAGGACGAGTGAAATTAATTAAATGATTACAAATTCTTTACTCATTTAACAGTAAGGGAAAATCTATTTGTACACCATGCTACATAGCATGGTGTATAGCCCTCTCACATGTTGAAGAGGCCCACATCAATATTAAATTTGTGGGGCCCCTCACAATAAAAGTGTACTGCACCAAGTGCTGTACACTAAGCAGAACTCTTAACGGTAAATATAACATGCTAGCCTACAAAATTGATTCCCTTTCACACGTTTTCTGTATAACATTATACATGTCACAGAAACATCATTACGAGCATGTTCTGAATGATTTTTTTTTTGACCTCTTAACAATAAATCTTCAGAAATGGAGTACTTTGAACCTCTTTCCATTTTCATATCGCCATATCTCGTGATTTTGCACTGCTCCATGAGGTTCACTTTACTATTTCATCCTCAACTCTTGATTCTTTGCTTCCCGAAGACAGACTGAATCATACTGATCATTTGGGCGCTGTCGTTGCCAAATCTGATAAAATCTTATCCATTTCATCAAAATATGGCCAGGTCTTTCGACTTTTTGTATCAATCTTACATTCCTGTTCAAAACAGAAGAAGGTGCCGCAGTTACTAATCATCAAATGAATAAATTTGATGTAACAAACATGGAAAAACAGAGAAAAATACACACAATTGACCACATGAAAGGGGGATATTGTAATCAAGACGAGCCCTTGGCCCTTGTGCATTACAATGGATTGTTGGTAGAACAAGAACGTCTGCTTTAGGGTGTGTCCGGCATGGCTTTTCAAAAACTAAAAGCTCCATCTGGCCCATTTGGATAACTTTTTGGAAGTGCTTTATCCTATTAGAAGAACTTCTAGAGAAAACTGACCTAATGTGGCTTCTTCAAAAAACTCTTTTACAAATAGCATAAGTCACCCCAAAAAGACCCTTAATCCAAACATTAGAGTCCTATTTAACAGAATCAGAAAGGTTATGAAACAATTAAGCCCCTGTTTGACAACCATTATTTAAGAAAAACAAGGAAAGTTTTGAATAGTGATTTTTAAGAGAATGTGTGGTTAAAAAGTATGAAAAAAATTTGAGTTTACGTGCAGAATATTTATTATATGAATGTGTGGTTGAAAATAAATATATAGTAAAAATAGTTTTCAAATAATGGTTGTCAAACAAGGGCTAAATCATAGTCGAATTCAGGAAGCATCCTAAGCCGAACATATTCGAAGTGTATTATTAACATGCATATATACAGAGATGCGTATAACTAATAAGAACAGTGTGTTGTAACTTCTACGCTAGAGATACAAAAATGAACCTCGTATTTCTGAATGAGCGACGTCCACAATGATTTGCATTGTCCGGCACTTCTAGTAATTCCATCAGATAACAAATTTGAAGATATCTCTTCCCAAAGGGCCATCCGTCCCCTGAGAACTTGAAATCTGCTGTGGAGTTCCCCGCGCAATTCAATTAGCTGCTTAACCTCTTCAGGTTTCCATTTGTTCCGTTTTGCAGTCTTTGGTTTTAATCTAGATTTTGGTGTGCTGGGATCAAGTTCACTGTTTTCCATTCTGGCCACCTCATCTCGCTCTGGTTCTGGAAGAAAAGAGCTGTTACCTTCTGATTGATTAACCACGGACGGTACAACAAATGACTTCCAAAAATCATCCGAATTGTCATCACCATTGGGAGAATTTTCTGGTTCAGAACTTGAAGAGGTTTCTTTCTCATCAAGAAGTCCCGCGTTGTCAATGTCATGAACTGCACGAAGAAGAAAGTACGAAGAATGGTTTCAATGAATTAGTAACATGATGACATCACGGAATCAAGTTACATATATTGATTGATTTGGCGATCTTAATGGTCCAATAGAAATAATATTCTATTCTATATGATAAATATTGGAGCCTAGTCAACAAATCATAAATTTGACANATAAGCTAAAAGTCCATCCTGTCCTTTCTGATACAGCTAGCAGATCATATGCATACTACAAAGCCACAATAATTATGTAGCTACTACACCTAGTGACGTGAATATAATTTACCAACTCACATAATTAAGCTCTAATAGGCTCGTCTAAATTAAAGGTTGAGAAATGATTACTAAGCACTGAACTTAGTTTATTCTAAGCAGCGATAGGATTGATGTGACATATCATCGGCACATAGCATAAGTTAAGCATCAGTACTTAGTAGATTATTCCTCATTAAAGGTTACACCAATATTGTTTCGATATTTTCTTTTGAGACTCATAAACAGCATAATGCCCATGATATCTCACCATGTTAAAGAAAGTCAGCCAATATATTATAATTCACTCTTTTCAGAAAAATGTTACAGTTAGAACAGTTAAAAACCATCTTTCCCGTCTTCTTTCTGACCACACACTGCATCTAGATACATGCACAGATTATCAATTTCACACCCTGAATATATCTAATAAGTGAGCCTACGTATATTCCGTAATTTTGGAAATTGAAGAGAATTGACTTAGAGATTTTAGCAAGAATCAAACATAACCTTGCAATTCTTGTTCTGCGGTACTTGCAAGTCCATTGCCATCGTCCTCTAGTGTGCCAGAAAGTTGTCTGCTCTTTTGATGTCCATCAACTGCTTTCTTCAATGCTGGAATCCCAAAGCCAACATGCGACTTTCCAGATAGTTTTCCATTAATCTCATCTGCAAGAACAGCGTCTGGATTTTCAATAGCAATAGCTATAACTTCGGGTCTTTTGCTACTGTACTTTCTCACCATCTTTCTCAAAACTTCGGAAACAGTTCTTTCCATGTGGGCCAAAGGGCAATTGACAGGACAGCTTGATAGTGAAGCATGTGCAGCTTTATGAAGTGCATCCAAAAGTTTTCCTTTGTCAAGCCATAAGCAACGCGTGGTAATTCTTATTTTTCCTTTTAGAGCTGCTTCGACAGAACCATTTATAGCTTGAGGGCGCAAAATTTCCATACTGCACCATAAATGCGAGACTGTCAATATGCAGGCACAAGTTAAGAAACTAGGTTTTGCAGTAGTAGTAAATAACCTACCTGACAACTATAATACCATCAGATGCAATTCTCATCCTCTCATCAACACACAGTTCACTAGCTGTTCCAAATGCTTTGTCACCATCGCTGTACATCAGCTGCAGCATTCAGAATATATTAGCAAATATCTTTTCAGATAATTAGCAGCTATGAGTGTAAATTCACATATAGCCATTTCTGTATGTACACGAGAGCGAGAGAGAGAGAGAGAGACCTGCAAATTCTCTTTCCCCAGGGAAATGAAACCATTTGATAGAACCCTTCGGTTTCTCAAATGTGAAACTCCCAGCATCTCCCCGTTTTTTATAACCTGAAGAGATTAATTAAAATATTGTAGGACGAGATGTAACAGATGACATTCAAAATTAAGATAGCAACGCCTTCCACACTGTCAACCAGATATATTTTCTCTTAACTATCTTCTGTTTTATGGTTAAAGGGTACCAGTAAGAACATAGATCAAATAGCAGACTAAACCAATGATATAGTGTACACTTGTCCATTGTAGATTTTCTCCCAGGACAAGAAATGGACACCTCAGCCTGTAATTTTGCTTCACATTTGGCCCTCGACTCCCCACTTCTTGGAAATGGTGTAATTTGATGAAGTAGGCTCATTAATACAACTAGCTTATAAAATGGACTTGGTAGCAGCTTTCTGCAGTTAGATACTAGGATTTGTATGTCCCAATCACATAATGACCCATCATGCATTGACCAAAATAGAAATAAAATTGGCTATAACCAAAGATCCATAACAATTTTAATGAGAACTACTAATCCAACAATTCTTCAAATATCTTCAACTGAAACAAACTACTTACTGCAGTATGATGAATGCCAGTTGATTTTCCCAGCAACTCATGCTCTTTAAGGAATACAAGTTCTCCATGGATAGGTAGAAAGTGTTGCGGTTTGACAATTTTTAGCACTTCATCCTTCAAATGCAGATCATATGAAAATCAATAAAAATATAGACAAATTATTTAGTGGAATGAGTAAAGTAAGATACGCATCACCTTAAAAATGATACCAGATTATACATTGTCAAACAAATGAAGGAAACCATTTTTCTCATATGGTATAAATGCAAAGGCAATATGATAGAATACTTAAGATCTTGATTTCATTATCATTGATCAGTTGGCTCAATTGAATGAAGCAATTGATTTGTTTACTAGCACAGGGAAAAAAAGGTGAAATAATTAAAGCAACATGCAATAGGGAAGGAGAATACTTTTTATACATTCCACAATATGCTCACAGCATTAAACTACAAAAACACCAAAGTTCAGCATATCTGAAAACAGCTAATCGAAGTATCTTACCAATTCATCA